TCAATTGCAGCTCATGGAAACTGCAGATTTTTTCTTCCGGCTCCAAGATGCTTTTTGCGGTCCATAGTATTCGGCCTGTGATATTCGAAAAAAATTAAAAAAGAAAAAAGAGAAAACCAATCTCTCGACCGACTATCCACACATTCATTTTGACTGAAAATCAGAATTGGGCCGAAAACTGAAAGCTGAGTATTCAAATATATATCACAAATAAAAATTAAAAATGCCAAGGACATATGGATGGCCCATGTGGGGATGCGATTAAACGATGTTACTGGGGTGCTCCCATATACCCAGCGCAGCAGCGTCAAGCACTTCGGTTCTAAACTACTTACACATCCAGTTTTTTAGTAAAATTAGAAGTATGCTTCACAAGGCTGCTGCCACTGAGGGTAGCTTTTTCCACCAGAAAGCCTGGATCCCATCGGGGCCTGGGGCTTCCCAGGGTTTCGCACGTTTGAGGACCCAGTCAAACGAGCTCCACAGTAGGTCCGGGTCTACGCTGGATATTCACTTTGCATCCTCTGTCTCCACTGATTGAGAGCCGGTGCATGTCCAGGGTCCGAGGGGAACTTCGTTCCGATCAATTTATTCCACAATTTATTCCACAAAGTTCAGCGCCAACATTATGGTTTATATATGAGAAGTTAGTGTTAAAGGATGCGAAAAAAAACGAACATGTGTTCCCAGTTGGGCAGTATTTCGTTGGACCATACCCGTACCGCAGCAGCAGCCTCTTCCTCTTCCTTTCTTCTCATCTCAAGAAATTTTTTTCGCTGACAAGCACGACGAGCTTCTTTACGTTTCGCTGCCTCAATAAGTGCTTGGTATTGCGCTTGATGGCGTCGCTGCTCCTCCACTGATTTCGCCGGCAGATTACTACAATAACGCCAATGTAGTAACGTACACCAGTGAGAGAGAGGCCGAGGTCGGCATTTTAAGAAAAGAGATAACAGGACAGCCAAGAGAGACTGATATTTACTGGAAAAGCCGCCAGTGCCCTGGAAGGATCCACTTGAACACCTGTATTAAAGTGCGGCCTATAAGTCAGCTCAAACAAGTCAGGTTCTTCGGTCAAGGCTTATTTGTTTAAGCGTTTCTGAATTATCATATTATTGGTAGAATTAATGATCAGCCCAAAATTTCCCCATTCATTCTACAAATGTCCATAAATTCGTTTCTCAAAGTGGTCATTTTCAGACTCAGTGTCGGTGGAAATTGATTAAAACCTGAATAAAGCTGTGCCAAGCTGTCAATTTCTAGCTTATAAACAATGGAAGATGATGAAAAGCGGTAAGTTGAACCTTGGCCTATCTTCCAATATCAAACCAGTTGTGGAGCAGTACAGATCATCTGCAGTACCGGCCAAAGCGGTCGACGGAGCCGCTGTTGAGCCGGTTTTTTTGCCATGTTTATTGCTGAATATTCGCCAGGAACTCGTTTGCTGCTGCTGCTGCTGCTGCTTATTACGGGAAAATAATTTCCTTAAAACAGATGATTGCGAGGTCACATGAAGCATGCAGTGTTAACTTGAGGGTCACCCGTGCGATCAAGAGTTTTCTTGATTAGTTACTTGTTGACGAGCAATGACTGGATGTATCCCAGTAATGTGACTTACGATGACGTACCTTCGCCTCTTCCTTGACCTAATTCTTACCCCAAATTGGCGCAGGATTTATGAAATATTACAAACACAAAATCCTCGTATCCCTAAGACACAGCGAAACTCTGACAATTTATTCAGCTGCATTTCATAGCGTAGTTTTTCAACCATTCAATTGGCAACTTTTCCAGCTGCTTTGAC